CCCTCCCGCGCTAGCCTAAGGGCCACCTTAGCAAAGCGCATCCCAGGCTGCATAGCCGCACTACCCTACCCAACCATACCACACATAAACATGACACTACCCCCGGGGTTTACACAGACGAGCCGGCGAAGCAAGAAGAGCGCCAGAAGAAAGGGCCCTAGCCGGCGGGGCCCAGCCAGGACAAAAGGAGGTCCCACAAAGCGCCTACACCGGCCGCATTTGCGGTCGGGGTAGACGACGGATGGGGCCCACCTACGAAGGCTGTCCAGGCCTACACGAGATGAGGCAGGATAAAGAGGGATAATCCCCCTCGATCCCAAATCATTGAGGCCAATTTCTAGCCATAGAATAATGGCGCGGCGCGTCTCCTCTGTATTACTTACTCTGTGCTCTAACGTTGTTTTCCGATATTCCGATTAAACTTGTTCCCGATTCACAGACAGAATCACTGATCCTAACCTAACCTAATAATCAGTTTAATCTGATGGATCACTGTTTATGAAATCCGCATTCATTTCTAGTTGATATTGTGCAGAATCGAAAGCGGCTGTAAATAAAAGAAGGAAGAAGAGATAAAAAAAGAAATAATAACCAAACTTTAAAGTCATTTTAATTTAAAGTTGGGTTAGTTCAAATTGTTGATTTTTATAGGATTATGGCTGTTTTAAGACATATATCTAGAATAACTTTGATAAACAATTTCAAATCCGAAAGTAGATTACATATAAACTATCCATGTGGAACTTGCCTTCGATTTTTAAATTATTCTGCCATGGAATATGGTGAGATATTTATTTTTTAGTTTGTGTATTATTTTGAATTTTCATACAACTTTCAGATGAATCCAAAAATCCTGCCCCTCTATTTTTTGATCGAACAGTGCAATCTTTATTAAAAAGTTTAACAAGAATAGATCTAGCAAAAGTATTCAGAAAACGAAAATTAGGAGGTTACAAATTAGAAGATCCACAATATAAATTTATGACCGACGAAGAACTTCAAACATCGATTAAAGATGCTCAAGAACGAGCTAATAAAATGTTACAAATTCCTCCAGCAGTTCCTAAACGTACAACTACAAATCGAATGTTTTCTAGTGACCCTGCACTGGAGGGCTTGGAAACATGTCGAATGGTTTTTACAGATATTACTTTCGGTATAAAAAATAATGAACGTGTCATAGTTGTAAGAGAGCCGGATGGTACTTTACAAGAAGCAGACTGGGAATTGAGAGATCGAATGAATCAGTTGTATTTTCCAAGAAAAGGTAGACATATTACACCACCAAGAATGTTTGAAGATGGATATTTAAAAAAATTATTAGATAGGCACGAATATGAATTTATTTTAGATCGTGCTTGTATCCAATTTGAACCTGACGATCCTAAGTATCAACATGTTGTTTCTATAACTTACCAGTATATTAATGACAATAATGATTTTGATGTGCTAAGGTCAACGAGGCATTTTGGAGCATTAACTTTCTTTCTTGTGTGGAACAAAAATATTGATAATTTGCTATTAGATCTTATTGAAACATTGCATGTTGAAGAAGGGCATGATTTAACAAAACTGTATTTTAAAGTACATAATGTTTCTTTATCATCTAGCAGTAATTTAGAAGCAATAGAGGAATATATTGAAAAGTATTCCAATAAGAAACCACCCTTACAATTAGCTGTGCAAGCCTATAAAGATTTAATTAAACAAAAAGAACAACTGGCAACAGGGATACAGGCCGCTCATGGTGTGTAGAAAATATTTTATTTATAATTAATAAAGTAGATTTAATTTCATCTAAGAATTTTTTTAAATCCCCTATTTTTTCATTTTGGACCAATGACATTTTTATTATACTGAACAAAAAAAGTTAAAACCAAGTAAAAAATATTACTACTGATTTTAAGAAGGAAAAAAAAAGAATTTGTGATCAAACTACAGTCTATATTATAACTTAGTGTTATTTTGGGCAAATATGAAAAGGTAGTAGCGTCTTGTAAAATTGAAAGTAGTCAAATATGTAGAACCACATACTTACAGAACTTCTGCAAACAAAAAATTTTCCATAAAATCTACAAAGTAATCTACAATCAATCAATCTACAAAATGAAAATTAAAATTGCACTGTAAAATTACATTTTATATACAGGGTGTCCCACCGGGAACTGTGGCGATCGATATCTAGGAAAGCACTGCTCCAAAAAATTTTAAAATTTGGCAACATGGCAATGTCCCTGGGGTGAACACAACTATAATATCTAGAACTCTCCAGCACTTCCGGTTATACCGGAGGTCTACACCTGCTTCGTTATTTTAAATGGAACACCCTATATTTTATTGCAATTTCGTATTCTACGTGAAATTTGAGGGTCGCTTTATTAAATATATCCTATACCTACCTAGGAATTATAGATTTTGAGATATTAATTTTTAAAGAAAAAATTTGACAGATGCAAGGGTCTGTGGAGATGCTATTATCAAGCTCAAGCAAGATATTTGGTACCTGTAAATGGCATAAGTAATGCTAAATTATGGCATACCAACGTATTAAAATATTTATTACTAGGTGTTTCATTTTTGCTGTTACATTTTGATAACTATGTTAACTTAAATAGAACACCCGTTTTTTACTCTGTCGTATACAGATTGAAATTTCCTTTCAAGCCATATAAGCATTGTTAGGGTTGTCGTTACTATTTTTAGAGATATTTGCATTTTACTACTTTTTCTCGTATCAGACCTGTTGTCAAATTGGCCATGACCAGAAACACTCCAAAACAATTAAAATAATTTGACATTTGTCAAGTTAGTTGTCAAAATATTGTTGTCTGTAATACTTTTTGCTGAATATTTAAAAAAAATGCCTGGGTATCGTTTAAATTATACTAATGAAGATTATTTTAATTTGTTTATTATTTATGGAAAAAAAGCAGCAAATACTCAATATGTTCTTGAAATTACTTTGTCACATTTTCCATAAATAATAAACAAATTAAAATAATCCTCATTAGTATAATTATTTAAACGGTACCCAGGCATTTTTATTTAAATTTTCGGGAAATCTATTCAGACATAACAATAATTTGACAAATGTCATGTTATTTCAATTGTTTTTGGAGTGTTTCTGGTCATGGCCAATTTGACAACAGGTCTGATACGAGAAAAACTGCTCAAAAAATAGAATATTGCAAATATCTATAAAAGTAGTAACGGCAACACTAACAATCCTTATATGACTTGAAAGGAAATTTCAATCTGCATACGACAGAGTAAAAAAATATAGGGTGTTCCATTTAAGTTAACAAAGTTATAGCTGTTTGAATTTATCAAAATGTAACATCAAAAATGAAACACCTAGTATTAAATGTTTTAATTTGATGGTATACCATAATTTAGCGTTATCTATGCCCTTTACAGGTAGCAAAAATCCGCTTGATATCGTGCTCCTGACAAGTGTTAAAGTCTTTCCGATATCAATTGAAGAACCAAGAGGATGACAGTATGTGCCAGGTTCGGTTGCTGACGTAGCAACCCGGCATTAAAATATTTGAAAAACTTGTTCCCATATTTATTTAGCCATACCCATATATAGGTCTGGTCAAACTAAACATGGAGGTGGTAGAAATGTATACGCCCAGTTGAAGAATGCGAGCACGGGCAAACGAAACACAAATACAGTTGCATTGGTCCACTGAGCAATAAATCTCAGATGACAAGTGGTTGACAAATTGCCCAGCAGTGCAGTGCAGCAATTCGGAATTTGGTGTGATTCAGGTAATTTTAATTTATTATAGGCACTTTCTATTAATCATTGATATTACAATTACGAAAGGGAGAAATAATATTATTACATGGCATTTTGGAAACCTTTTGAAACGGAACAAAATGAAATTTACCATCAATATAATAAAATTGTTTGAGGACATAAATAATTAAAATATGCCGTTGGCCAAATGAACATATAATAGACATTTGCTGCACATTATATACAAATTACTATAATTTTTTACCTTTATCAGAAAACTTTTTTAGGGACGCCTATGAAACTCATTCAATTTTATTGTCAGGCGTTATTTTACATGTTCAAATTACTTCGGGAAGACTTTCCTAGCAATTGTCAAATTTTTTCTTTAAAAATTCATATCTCAAAATCTATAACTCCTAGGTATAGGGAATATTTAATAAAGTGACACTCAAATTTTACGTAGAATCCGAAAATGCAATAATATATAGGGTGTTCCATTTAAAATAGCGAAGTTGGTGTCGACTTCCAATATAACCGGAAGTGCTGGTGAGTTCTAGATATTTTAGTTGTGTTCGCCCCAGGGACATTGCCATGTTACCAAATTTCAAAATTTTTCGAAGCAGTACTTTCCTAGATATCGATCGACGCAGTTCCCGGTGGGACACCCTGTATATAAAAAAATTTCATATTAGAATATCTATTTGTATTGTGTTATTATTGTTCTGCTTAGGGATACTTACAAAAGGTAAGTAGAATATTACTATTGGTACTATGTAGTTTGGTAGATACATTCGCCATAGTTTAAAATTAAAATTTGAATAACAAAAAAAATTTATATTGCGAAAAAAATAGATACAATTAATATCTATCGATTGATTATGAAAGAATAAATGTTTGCACTGTATACAGGGTAGGAAAGTACCGATGGTCTATCTGAAGTTATGTGAGAGCGATAAAGTAAGCCATAGAAATCCATGTGATACACAAGGATGGATATAGTGAAGGCATCTAATAGTCAACACCCATTTCGCCTTTAAACAAATAAGAAGTGGATCTTATTTGTGGAAGGGCGAAACGGGCGGTGACTATGAGACGCCTTCATTATAGCCATCCTTCCCTATCGCATGGATTTCTATGGCTTACTTTATCGCTCTCACGTAACTTCAGATAGACCATCGGTACTTTCCTACCCTGTATGTGCCATTATATTCGAGATCTCGGAGGCAGCAGTTCTTAATTAAATTTTTTTATTCCACACATTTGGTTCAAAATTCTTTTCTTCTTTATAAAAAAAAGATAAAAATAGATAAAAGAGATACATATAAATATAGACAGATAAAAATTTAACCAGGTCTTACTGATGAAGGTAATATTAGACGTAGAATTTTTTTTTAAATTAAATGAAACCAAATTTCATTTTTCTAAATATCTAAGTAGAAAAAAAAAACTACAAGAAATCAGCTTTTACAAAAAATATATTAGCAAAATAATTTTATGTAGAGATGTATAAATATGCTTGCATTTAAAAAAATTAAATACTGCCTAATATGACAATAAAAAACAAAGCAGGATAGTTTCCAATAATATTTCAATTGTTTTTCAAGTTTTCCAAAACACTTCTGTTTATTACACCTGAAGTGGTGCTATATTTTGGATTTTTTCCAGTAAGAGCAATAAACTGTTCAGATATTTCAACTGCAACACGAATTTGGGCTTCTGTAGTACTTGCACCTAGATGTGGAGTGGCGATAACTTTTTCTTGTTGAATTAGTTCCAAAGTTACAGGATTAGTTGGTGGTTCTTGTTCAAATACGTCGATAGCCGCTCCTCCACACTGACCTGATTTTAAAGCTTTTAGTAATTCCTTTTCATTGATGATACCTCCTCTTGCCACATTCACAATTCGCACACCCTTTTTACATTTATTCAATACCGCCTCGCAAATTAAATCTGAAAGAAGTACGATTAGAACCGACAATATTTTTTTAAATACATAATTATTTTAAATTAATAACTATAAATTAGCTTACTTCTTGTCTCAGGTATAAGTGGTGTGTGTACAGTAATATAATCAGCAATGGGCCATATTTGTTCTAAAGTTAGAAACTCTACATTGAACTTCTTCGCATCCTCTGAAGACACGATAGGATCATAACCAACTGTCTAAAGAAAATATGAAAATAGATTTTAGTATAATTTTACATGTCAATAAAATATGTTTAATCCTGATTATAAATATAACATCAGAGATATCTTCTTGATGGTTATCTGTTTTCACTGTTTTGCTGGTTTACAGCTCAGTATATCTACGCAACAATTGTTTTAAACAGCAAAGTAGAGTCCGTACAATATTTGTTAAGATAGAATGACAAGGAAATTATCAGAACTACTGTAATAATTTGAAATTTTTCCCCAATGTCTTTCTACGTCGGGTGTCGGATGAGGTTAATTTCAAGAAAGTGACGCAGGGGTCTTCTTGGAATTATAGTTCAACAAATATTGTATGGACTGTACATTTTTTAAATTAGTGTTGTATAATTCTTATTTAGATACAATATAACTGATTACATAATGCATCCGAATATTTCCAAAAAAATTACAAAACAGAAAATATAATTTCTTATGTGATAACACTGATAACAATATTCTTAAAAAATATTATGAAACTACTTATCTCAGTAAAGGAAATATCCATAGGGGGCCTAAGATAAGCTATTTACACATATTTTTGCAGCTATTTTAATATCAGTAATTACACAAACCTAATTAAAGTATTTCGTACTAAAATATGAAAAACATGTTGTGCAACAGTAAATATGTATGTACAGAAGAAATAAGTGCTAAAATTTGAATATATTTAACACTTTAAAAGCAACAACTTTTTCCTAATATATTTTTCGAATACTCATAATTTTGTCCAGTGAATGAATCGACGTTCGCAAATAAGAACATCGTATCTCAATTTTTAGTAAAAATTAGTAAAGATTACTTTTATATAAGAGTGCCTTCTTTTTCAGCTAAAACCATGTATTCCAATTTCCAAAGTATTTTTATCGTATCTATTTTGTATAGAAATTTAACCTAAATATTATCGTAACAACAGTTACAATTTTGCTTATAAATTGTAAAATAAACATATTAATCGAATGTAGAGTTGCTCCTAGATTATAGCAAACATGCTTTTTAAAGAACATCATATTTTTATATACGATTATATTGAAGGTGTAACAATTATTACACCGTTTTATTGCAAGTGAACATAAGATGTTAATACTTTTTTGAGAATTATGTGGTATTTTCATCTTAACTTAACATACGATGTTATTACTTTTCTATTACTGCTGGTGGTGAGTGTATACAACTCTGTCTCTTTAGATATGATATACTAGGTTTCTTAGATATAGAGATAGTTACATCTCATCTCTACATAAGATGTTAGTTACTTAAAAAATAGCAGATAGCTCCATCGTATCTTACTAAAGTTAATTTAAAAAGAAAAATAATAGTAATTTTCACTATACGTTTATAAGAAATTGTTTCTGTACCTCATATTTAGACTGTAACCAAATTTCATATGGTAACTTTGAAAAGATGTGTTGCAATTAAGAGAAAACTTCTAGAACTTTAAACCTACTTTGTGAGAAACCATTATTATCGAGTTACGATGTTCTTATTTGCGAACGTCGGAATGAATGAAGAAATACTAAAGTAACATATGAAAATGTTTTATGCAACAATTCACTATTTTTTCCAGCATAAATATTAGCACTAATTCCTATTTTTCTGTTTTTTTCTCCTTAATATTAACTCCAATATGTCTTCGATTGATGCTCCAGGGGGTGTAACGAAAGTTCACAATATAAAAAAAGGATGTTAATTAAAAATTAAGAGGTTTTCAAATATACTTAATATTATACAAAAGTTGTTGCTTCTGATGAGTTAAATGTGTGGTTAAAATTTTGTTAAGACATGATTTCTAGGCACTTTCCTATTTTTTACAAAATTTTTATTTATTAATTAAATGTTAGGTAAATTAATTTAAAATTTAAATATCTATAATTACAAATATAATTGATTTTGGAAAAAATAAACAAACTTAATTGCTCAATTGTATCTATCACTGGATTTAGATGTGAGCATCAAAATTGTCCCAGACATAGCGGTATGGGTGCCACGATTCATTATCAAAATATGTTGTCTTCAAATTTCACTGCTCACCACTGTATCATATACGAGTAGTTTATTTTTATTAAATTATTAATTACTAACTTGTTACCATAAGACTGAAATATGAGTTATTGTACCTTCATACCCCACGCTTGCATTCTTATAGCCACCTCTCTTCCTATTCTGCCCAATCCTAAAATTGCTAAAGTTTTGCCATAGAGTTCATGACCAGTATAGAGCTTACGGTCCCATTTTCCAGCTTTTAAGGAGGCTGCTGCTGGTACTACATTCCTAGCAAGACTTGTTATTAAAGAGCATGTTAATTCACAGGCACTGATTGCATTCCCACCGGGAGTACTGAAACACGTTTATATAAAATGTTAATATTGAAACATTATTTCTGTGTGTAATTAAAAATGTGTACAGTTTGGGCCAATTTCCACTAATTTTTTTTTTTGGGAAGTTTATATTTATCTCAGTATTCGTCATATACAGGGTGTTACATGAAAAACTGCACCAAATTTCCTCAGATAAAAACAAGCAAATAAAGGTTATAAACACATTGATCCCGAGATATGGGTCTTCAATTTCTTTGAAAAAAATCAATGTTTAAAAATATTTTAAGAACTCCTAATGACATCACGAAATTTTAGAGTGACAAATAAACATAGATTAAAAATAAAAAATATGTAAAAATTGTTATTAGTATGAATAAATTAAAAAGAAAAATGACAAAAACATTAGCGAGTATTGGCAATGGTTTTCGAAGCATCCTTCATCAAATTCTTTTTCTTAAGGAAAATATAGTTTTTCTTATTTGAAAATTATTATTTGCAATTTCATTTGCATTCATATTAAAACACAACTTTCAAATTATGTTATTTTTTTTATTGTTGCTGCTTTATAACTGTGTTAAATTATGTATATTATACATATATTTTAATATATTTAATTTATGTTTACTTGTTATTTTTTCTGTATCCACCTCAGATTTCAAATTTAGCTTTCTATGCATTAACCTTTCACAAAACAATTAGAAGGTTCAATTATTATTATTATGCAATTTACTCCAAAATCTACGAAAATATAAAAAAAAATTGACAGTAGTTTTATTAGTAAATATGTGATATACTTTAACCAAGCAACAGATATTTATAAAAAGTATTTACGGAACTCATAATTAAAATGTAGAATTACTAGAATTATTGTTTTTAAGTACCTACTAACTGTAAATATTCCTTTTTAAAGTTTTGTGAAATTATTATTAGATTCTTGATTAGAATGTTTCAAAACACTTTTTTTTCAAAAATTTGAAGGCTCTCTTAGAAAACGGTACATTTCCAGAGAGAAATTTATATAAATTGATTTACTTAACTATTTTTACCAGAGAAATATTTTCTTAAAGTTTGTCTGTTTCCCGCAGGAATGTGGTTTATATACTTTATTTTAATGTACCCAACCGAAACTATATTTACTACTGTTTTTTTTCTAGTTATAATTTAAAAGTTTATTGATTTTTCTAAATTTATGTTGATATGTATATTCAATGGTCTTCATATAAAATGAATGGATGATTTGAAGTTTAAAAACATGCAATCAAACATTTTTATAGCAACATCCTTCTGTGTATATACAAAAACAAAATTAGATACAATATAATAAATATATAGGGTTTTTGTGAATAAGTGCGAAATATTTTAGATGGTTGTCGAAGTTATTTTGTGAAAAAAAGTTTATATAAATGTAGGTCGAAATATGCTTCGTTTCCGAGATACAGTGTTTAAATTTAAATTTTTTATTTATTTTTATTAATTATTTCAGAGTTTTAAAGTTATTGATTCGAAATTTGATGGTTATATTTATAGAAATATTGACAGCAACCTACTAGATAATGTATCAAGAAATTAAAAATACAGAACTTGCAATAAACTATGTTTTATTTTTTCCTCAAAAGTGGTGCATCCTACGAAAAAAAATGAAGAGACCAATTTCATTCAAAATTGATGACGGATTTCTAAAAAAATACCAAAACGGGAAATAGTCAGTGGCGTACCATTTTTTTTATCAAAAAAAGATTGTGGTATTCTCGCACGAACGCCACTGGTGCAAGTAGAAATATTCGGATCACTCCAAACAAATGCACATTTGTCCCTACAAAGCGTTTTTCAAATTTCGAGTCAATATCTTTAAAACTGAAATAATTAATAAAAATAAAAATTTAAAATTTAAACACTATCTCGGAAACGAAGCATAATTTCAACCTACGTTTATTATGAACTTTTTTTCACAAAATAACTTCGGCAACTACCCCTTAAAATATTTCGCACTTATTTACAAACACCCTGTGTATGTAATATGTAAACATTGTAAGCTATTTTGTGAAGGTATACAAATTATTTTTAAAATAATTCAGTATAAAGATGTGTCACCGATATTTTTCAGATTAAAAAATTATATATATGAACATACTTTAAAACAAGGACGTTTTTGGAAGTAGCAGCATTCACATCTATGTTATCTACACCAGCACCAGCCCTTCCTATGACTTTTAGTTTTGTAGCAGCCTTAATAACATCTTCAGTCACCTTTGTGTCAGATCTTACTATAAGTCCGTCATAGTTCTAAAAATAAATGGTTTATGTTACCCCTTAAATTTGGGTATTGTTCCACATTTGTATTTTAAAATTATTGTTCGAGTTATTTGTTTACATAGTGGCAATTAACTTAAAATTGATATTTTTGAACTATACAATTCTCCTTTTATTCCACACAGTTTTGTCAATGCATGACCTAACCTTTGAGCAGTTTATCGTCATTAAAAAAATCATAGTTCTATAAATGCAAATAAGTATAATGTTTAGTAGTCAAAACATAACAATTTAAATAGTGAACTGAAAAGGATTACCACCATGAAAAAAATAATGCGATACACAATGATCAGTTTTATTTTACAGAGTATTTCAATTAACTTCGATGTTAGAGGTAGAAAACCAATTAACCTATGTATACCTATACCTAAAGTATAGCAAACCTATACCTATAACCCATAGACATAGACGTGCTCTGTGCCTATAACCAGAGGCGGACTGGCTAGATGAACAGGCCCGGGAAACATTCAAGCGGCCCGTTTTTTGAAAGTTTCTGAATTTATTTTATTTTAAATAGGCTCTTCGTGAATGATTTGAAATATTTGAAAAAAGTTAGCCATAGATAATTTGATATTGTTTTAAAAATAATTAATCTCTCAATTTGTTTGTAGATAAAAATTAAAATCTTAAATTAAAATAATTTAGATTTTTTTAAAATGGATAAGTAGTAGTTGGAAGGTATAAGAAATTAAAGCATTATTCTTTTTAATAAATAAATAATCATTAAAATATATATTTTGTATCAATCGAAAATATTGTGTTGTAGAGCTAAGTATAATCTAAAAATTCAATTTAATATAAAAGGAGATTTTTTAAAAGTGTATTTATATGCTACTGATGCAAAGGGAAATACGTTTGTCAATATTTCTATTCCATTTAAAATTCTGTAACAACATATGATGCAGCTTTTACATGGCTCATGTTTCTTTTTATTTTTTCCTTTATCTTTCTGCTGAGTTTTATCAGTTTCATATTCCGTGATTCCTTCACTTTCACTTTCATCAAATTGACGTGTTTCATACTCATCCAATGGAGTTTGTACAAGTTTTTGTTCCACTGGTGTGCTAAACTTGTTAATTCATCTCTTAGTTTTTGAGGAGTTATTTCTGGTTCATATATGACCAATTTCTCACACAGTTTGTTAAAAACTGGAGCTTTTAATCCTTTCATGCGTATTGTATCTAAGTTTTTTGGATCCAAAAAGGCAATATCAGCATAAAACTCATTATCCAAAGAGCAGAATCGACGTTCTATAGAAGCTACTACAATATATGCATGAAACTCTTACAGAATGCATATAAAAATATCAAACAATTTAAAGTTAATTAATCACATGAAAAGATCTATATAAATACAAAGCTATAGAATAGATACAAAAAGTAATTAAATTAGGTCCATAAAGTTTTGATGCAGTTTAAGGTATCGAGTTTTTTTTATATTAGTAGAAGCTTATTTTTAAGGAGGTACTAGACTTTTAATTGGAAATACATAATAATTATGGTTGATTTAACTCATTGAAAAATCGTTTTTTGGTCTCCGGCCGCAAAGTACTAATCGGCCCGAAAGTTGCGGTTGGTTGGTTGGTTGGGCCGCTACGCTAAACAAAATTGATCCTTTCCGGCGCCATCGAGCAAAAAAATTGTACACAAGCCTCAGATCACATGTAATTGTCGGCCAAGGTGAAGTCGACATTTCTTATTTTACTGCCCTAGGTGTGTAATATATACTTTTTTTTTCATTTCTTTCCAAATTTTTTCCTTGATTTTTTTTCCGAATTTATTACTCAAAATTTTTTCCAATTTTTGTTTTTCAAATTTTTTTTTAATTTTTTTTTCATTTAAGTAAAAAAAAATTTTTTTTTTCAAAAATATTTTTCATCCTTCTAACAGCGCGAACCGGCCCAAAATGACCGCGGCCCATCGGGAAACCTCCCGAGTTCCCGCATAGCCAATCCGCCTCTGCCTATAACCCATAGTAGCAAATATTCTGCTAAATGGAAAAAAACAGTTGAAAGTCGCATTTAGAAGATATTTGTAAAAATGGCATTGGTACGTATATTCCTGAAAAATCGTTATATTCTAACAATACATAAAAGACAAATACACAGAATATTTTCGCTTCTCGGTTAACCGAAATTATGTATGTAAATATAAGCTTTGTTCCTACTAGAGCAATCCAAAATAGTTTCCAGCAGTCAGACGCATGCGCATTCCGATATAATGCTTACATAATGTTCAAAGTTCATTGTTTCGAAGCAAATGCGATTGCGTCTTACTGTTGGAAACTGTTATGTTATATTTAATAACAATGAAGTTAACAATAGTATAATTTGAAAAGACCCTTTCCTCGTATATACCGAGTGTCCTTCGAGGGAATGCACAAACTTTAGGGCTAAAATAAGCAGAAAAGCTGAGTTCAGATTTGCGGAACGTCTATATCGATTTTCAAAAAGTCCGTAAATTTTTGTTACTACTGAAAAATTTAGCATGATTGTCTTGAAAGTTGTTGAAAATGGTTCTTGAAAGGTTTTAAAATTTTCCGGTAACCTAAATAAACTGAAACTCCCCCGTAGGTATCTCAATTTGCGTTAATTTATAACTATACAGGCTGTTACAAATTCGCTTCTCACTACAGGGATCTCATCGGAAACGGTAAGAGGCACGAAGTAGCTTAAATGGGGGCAAAGTTGCGTAATCAGGAGACCAACATTATGCCTCTAAAAAATCAAGGCTAACATGATTAGTTTTCGAAATATTTGAAAAAAACCGAAATTTTGGAAATCCGTTTTTGTTTCATTTCAGCCTTGTTTGAGGTGATATTGAAAAAAGAAGAACACTTTTTCATGACCACTTTTTGCTCTCTATTGAATGGCATAATCAATTTTTGTATGTAACCTTTCGTCTCTCCAGGACCATCATCAACTTCATTTTTTTAAATACGACCCTGGATATTTTATTACATTTTTTGCAAGCCTTCATAACCTCCAATACTCTACTGCTTCAGCCCGAACCAGATTCAGACGTTTTGTCTCGAAAAATTAATCTTCAGTGTATTCGTACCAAATTTATATTAAATTTTTTATGTCGATTTCTTTGCTTATTGAATGATCGTAAACTGTAAGTGTTGTTAGACCTTGTGAAATCCCTCTAGTTTTTAAACTATTACCACCACGCATTACAATAAAACATTTATTATTATTAACTATTACCATCACTTGGTCATACATAACTCAATAAGTTCTTGCGTCAAAATTAAAACATTATTATTTTAATTTTATTATAACAAATTAATTCTTAAAAACGCATATGAACAAACAAAACGCCAACTGAATATTATTCTTTAAAAAATTTCAGTAAATGTTCAAAAACAATTTCGTTTTGGCAAAGGCTGAAAATGAAGATCAGCGTAATATTATCGGAATTTATTATATCTGTAACCGTAACTGTGAAAGAGTATGTCAGATATATTTGTATGAATATCCTGAAAAAAATTTGATCAAAATTTGTTTGAATATTGAGCACTCGAGAAACCTAGGAATAACTATGAGCACGGGATTAAAACTAATAATGTTTTATTGTAACGTGTGGTGGTAACAGTTTAAATAACTACGCGGATTTCACAGGGACTAACGACACTAGAGTGTACGATAATTCAATAAACAAAGAAATCTAAATCAAAAATTTAGTTAAATTCAAAACGAATCCACTGAAGATGAATTTTTCGAGAAAAAACGTCTGAATCTTGTTCGGGCTGAGGCAGTTTATTGGGGGTCATGATGGCTTGCAAAAAATGTAATAAAATTTCCAGGATCGTATTTAAAAAAATAAAGTTGATGATGGTCCTGGAGAGACGAAACGTTACATATAAAAATTGATTATGCCATTCGATAGAGGGCAAAAAGTGGCCATGAGAAAGTTTTCTTCTTTTTCCAATATCACCTCAAACAAAGCTGAAGTGAAACAAAAACGGATCTCCAAAATTTCGTTTTTTTTTTAATATTTCGAAAACTAATCATGTTAGCCTTGATTTTTTAGAGGCATAATGTAGGTCCCTTAATTACGCAACTTCGCCCCATTTAAGCTACTTCGTACCTCTTACCGTTTTCGAGATCCCTGTAGTGAGAAGCGAATTTGTAACAGCCTGTATAGGTACCCGTATTTTTTATGACGCTTAAACTAAGAAAATGAATTAAAGAAAACAACATAAAAATTTTCTTATTCTCTTAGACATTTTAATTAATTAATACATTTTTGTATTAAAGAAATCATAATTAAAAAAAAGAGTACGGTTATTTATATTTGCAATATCTGATGGAGGAAATATTAACAATGCTAAACTATGTTTGCTTATTTTTTATAATTCACGTTTATTTGTTATTGGTTTTGAATCAACCTTATTCATTAGTTATTTCTTTGTATTCACTTATTAATTAACATTATTTTTTTGAAAATTGTAAAATGTTTCTACAGTCAAATAAAAAGTGCTATAATTATTAAGCAACTAACTCCAAAGAAAGTACGAAAATTTTACAAGAGTATTAAATTTATTCAAGAATATGTTATTTAAATATACCTATACAATTAAAATTATAAAAGGTGTGTAAGAGTTACGTTTTAAAAAATGCCGATCCTCCTATATCTACGACACTATTACTAATGTTAAAATTACTGTATTAAATTTCGAGAAGTGATCGTTATATGTGTATATAAGGTATTAAAAAATATACACTTTTTTTAATATATTGTTTTTTTTGCTTATTTTATTTAATTCATATATTTTTTTGAATTCGAAATTTTTTTGCTTATTTTTACCTAAGAAATGTACCTCAAAATTTGTGCCCTACCTCGTAGAGAACCCCGTACAATCAAATATATGTAAATAAAAAAGATAATTTAATTAATAATGTAGTTACTTGCATACAATGGGAATTTTTACTGCAAATATAAAGTTATATCTAAGATTAAATACGTGTATTGTTTACTTACCGGGATTTCTGCAATTAATTGGTCTTTAGGCAATTTATACTTGCAATCCACTTCAAAAGAATTTTGCTGCAAGAGTTCCACACAAGCAGCATCTACCGCGTCAGCAACGAGTACTTTTTTAATATCCATTCTTGAAATATAGCTTTTTGTGAGGGAACGGATTGAGTATGTACCAGCAATAAGCTATATTCTTTTTAGACAGCCGCGATTTCTTTACCGAGTAACGGCAGCGAGTTCGCTGTTTATCATTTAATTGGTAACCTTCGGGTTAAGTTAACCCCACTCTCGAACTACCCATCAATAGAAGCAAACCAGAATTGGATCAGAAGACAATAACCTTGTCTCCTGTCTTGTTTTGCCACTACTACATTCACTTGTTGATCATTTACTCAATAGTTTATATTTGATTCAAAACAATAGTTTTATTTGCACAGTTTTCCATTTTAAGAACGTACAATCCAATGTAATAAAGAATATCTCGTGAAATTTATAACTTTAGTTCAACATGTCAACAAATAAGATATAAGTACATTTATATTTTTTACAGTTTATGATAGATATGATGAGTTAGTTTTTACTCGATTGAAATAAAACAACTTTTATTTTATTTTGAGTATATGTATACTAAAATTTAGTTCTGGAATACCTATGTGCCTATTTGAGAAGAGCAATAACTTTTGAAAAAGAAAATATTATCTTCGAGATTATATTATATTACCATTATCAAATACTAACGTGAATCTAAAATAAATTCTAGAACTACTCGTTTAACAAATAAAGTCTATATTTTTTTGCTAGAAACGCGGTTTTAAAAGCAATGTGTTATGTCAAAAAAAATCATTGCCATATAAATTCTGCATTCTGCTGGAGGTACCAGAGAACATAGCTAAGAAAAATTGCAAAATTACTGTTAATGCTTTTTTCAACATTTTTTATTATGAATTTCTAAAATATTCAGTGGTGTGTTGGCATCGAATTTCCGAGGTTTTTAATAATAGTTATTCTTCGTATTCCTTTTGGTTGATTTATTATTAAATCATTAGTCCAAGTTTCCTCACTATATTTCAAGTGTCTCCAAATACATTTTCAAAAATGTGATTTTTTATTAAGACAGGTACCTTATCTCGTAAAAAACGTCGAAAATACGTCCGAATTACTTTTTTTTTTTTATTTTTAACCACCCAAATTCTAATTTTAAAGTTAGTTAATTGATTCTGAAACATTCTGAGTAACATATACGAGTGTGAACAGTATTTTTCTTACAAAAAGTGGCGCTTCTCTGCATTAAACGGTAATACATGATGTTTGTGAAATAGGTACTTAGGTAAACAATGGCCAAAAATGTTAGTCAAATTAGATAAGAATACTTTTCCCAAATGAATAATAATTATTATCTGTAAGGCACAAACTTCTAATGTTAATAATATTAATTATTTGTATTACTTATTTGTTACTACATGGTGATATATAGGTACCTTATTTTTTTTACATGCAAATTGTGCATGAGAAATTTAGAATAAACTCATAAACATATTTTAATTCAATAGTTTATGAAAGAAACAGTATTGAAAATTTTAAATTTACTTTTTTTTATCATTATCTGATCTGCATATACAAAGTTTCGGATTATAGAGGACATTTTTGAAATTATCTTATTTTAAATGGGACTGGTAAGTTTTTTACATTGTCACTGCTATTTAAAATTTCCCTGCTATAAGTGCCCCTACAGCTTGATTCAAATTAGTCACATAATGGATTATAACATTTTGACTTTTTATGAAATTAATTTTAACTAAAAAAACGTGTTTAAAACGTAATTTTGATCCAAAAGAAATATAGAGGGTCTCATTTAAATTTCAAAGATTGTGGCCACTTCCAATTAAATTGGAACAAGTGACAGAATATTTTATATGTGAAATTATTCTATTTACTGCCTATTTTATTGATGTTAAAAATTATCCCACATAGATTCTAGTTTGGGTTATCCTGTATACTCATGGATTTTTTAAACTTACCCACCATCAGCAAAATACTAAAATTGTGTGGACGATTTTGATTTAATATATCTCTTAATACTTAATGTTTTTTTTAATTAATGATTTTTATATTAATTTCTTTTATGGTATGCATACTATGAAAATATTTTTATCTAAAAGCTCTCGCAACTTGAACATATTTTTATGAATCAGCCAATCAAAATAATATCTACAACAATGGACTCCCGAGATAATTAGAAAACGAAAATGCAATCAGTAAAAATATTAGTACGAATGAAAAAAGTAGTCTGAAATGAAGCTGTACTTTGATGTACCTCTCTAGTTTCCAATATTTTTTTTATTTTACTTCTCAAATCACTGAAAAAATAACTTTTATGGCATGCATACCAAGGGACTAAAGTACAATAATTGTGAAGCTAAATTAGAGTCGATTAAGATAACTAAATTAATTATAAAGAATATGTTAAAATTGTAGCTTCTAGATATAAAACTTAAATCAATGATTGAGAAATTTAATTATGTAAATAAAATTCTCTACAATATATTTTTCCTAATTTTTACATTTAAATAAAATTATTCACTCACTACAAAGTTATTAAAGTCTAGTAATCAGTCCCACTGATAAACTTTTCCTGGAGCAATTCTTTTAACGGAGGAAGTCCCACCTGCTTCAATCTGTTTAGGAATTGGAGCTATGACATCGGGAGGAGAAACTTCACGTCTTGCATCTCTCGTAAAATAGTAATTTCCACTTAACTTATGGCTGGGGCCATCTGGCAAAATAGGAGGTGGAGGAGATCTTGTTGCAAGTACATTTTGAAATCTCAGAGCTAAGGTATGTTTTCTGCCTAGCAGAAAATCTCTGATAGCTTGCAGAAACGGATTAACATCGTGCAGCCGTACTTTTGGAGGAGGCATAGCAATATTTTTTCACAATAATTTGTAAATTTTGGTTAAAGTTTTAACTTGATTTTTGACAGTTATTGCATAACATGAAAGTTAGGTTAGATTATTTTTACCACAAGGAAGCTTGGAGCATATACTAGTGGAGGGAGCATGCCATTGTGAAAAGTATGGCTAAGTGTGCGAGAGAGATAGACAATTTCTCAGAATTTGCTGTCTCACTCTAGCACGCCGCGATTGATTGGAACATTCATTTAAAATCCATCGTTTTGATACGATGGATTCCATGCATGTAATATTATTGGTATATTTAAACAATTTTAATTTCTGATTGGCCCTACATAATCCATCAGATCCAAATAATGAAGAATCAGAAAGGTCAAGGTCTAACTGAAGTGTCAGCTAAATGTAATCAATGGGCTATTATTTAGTCAAGATTCAAAAGCAAAGCAAAAAAATACTTTACAGACATATTCGTATAATAATCATATTTATCTGTGATTTAAATATTGTAGTCCTAATAATGCTTTGCTCCTAGAGTAATCCAAATCAGTTTTCAACAGTAAGACGCATGCGCATTCTAATATAATGCGTATATAAGGTAAAAATAAATACCACTGCATCAGACTTGAGACCCTTTCGATTTGGCAAAAATAGTAGCTATTAGTAGCTAATAACAACTTAGAGTTACTCTGAACTGATATTAGTTGCTAATAGGTATTATTTTTTTCAAAACGAAAGCCCCCTTGGACACTATTCACTGTTTCAAGGGTCTGTGATTTCAAGTTTCAACCACACACAGTATACTATTGATTAGTATACTGTGGTTTCAACAAAGCTAATATTAACTATTGAGAAAAACATGAATTAGGTTTATTGAGATTTTAATGTTAAAAAACATTTGTGGCAAAGAGTGCACAGGATGAATAAAAATACGGTATTTATGGCAGATCCTCTGGAACTCCAGTACTTCTACAATAACTTTAAAAGGGAGATATGGACACCCTATTTTACCCCCTAGTTTAAATACTCACTGTATTTTTGAATTGGTGTACTGCTAAAGCAGTCCAATTACATTTACAAACAATGCGCTACATTGTTAATTATTCTTAACTATTTCTGCTTTTTCGTCCTTGTAAATTTTTTACAGTTGAGCTTGAATACAGCTTGTAAATATCTATATCTTACACAAATCTAAACTAAACTATTGTAAGGAACCCGTCATAAATTTGGGCTATTGTAAATAAATTTATTATCCTTTTTTTCCAAATGTTTTAACCCAAAAATACAGTCCTGTTTCCTGTTAATAAATGTAATTTTATGGTCCCGAATTATGTACAAGTGTTCTACACGGGACACTGTTCTTAAAGTGCCTAGTGGACAAAACTGCACTGATTCTATTGTCATGGCCAGTTTTTACAAGTATCAAACAATTTTATTTAAGATTTAATTTATGTCTCATTCACATATTATAATAAACAAATTTGTCAAAATGGATCTTCCACAATATAAACCCATTAACCGTGAGGCGCACACTTCAGGCCCCGGTGTCCTTAAAATTAACTTTTGTGATTTTCCTACTAAGCGAAAATTTAAAAAACAAATCAATTACGAAAACATAACTACGTACCTATGCTTTTGTGGCTCATATTGTCTCATGACAAACTATCTACATATTTCATTAATTTGAGGGTGAGAAGCCACAAAAATACTTCTAAAGCAGTTATTTTCCAAATATTTTCCAGGAGAAGAACCCTGCAGCCCAGCTCGATTTCTATTCAATATAGGAGGCCCACTAAACCCTTGCGCCTGAGGGCCTAAGAACACTGCTAATCCAATTCTGATAAAACCAAATAATGATATAGGTACATTAAAACAAAGAGTACATAATACAAATATATTTTTAAACAAGTTTACTACAAGAACTTCATAAAATTATGAACAATATCTCTGGCAGTAAAATAATAAACATCAGCCAGACACATTGTCTAATTTTTAAGCCCGAAATTTTATGGCTTTAAAGAGATTTCTATACAAATTATGTATATCCATAACATTTCAGACTTACATTATTCTCACAGAGAAATCTTAATGGAATATAAAAAAACACATAACTAGTTCAGTTATTCTACTTTCGCTAAAATATCTGATTCTCTAAACAAATGATATTCTGTGTTTTCTTCTAATTCGACTTTTGTGCCTCCGTATTCAGGCAAGAGAACTTTTTCTCCTACTTTCACAGCTACTGGTGCAAAAGTGCCATCCTGAAATTAATATTTTGAACCATTAACTTAGACTTTAAATAAATAACTATATAATAGATAAACCCCTAATTGTATTCACCAATAATAACAAAATAAATACATAATCAAACATACAATTTTTAATTCCTTATACCACTGAATTGCTCAATATTTTACATTGCCCCAAATATTTAAAAAAGAATTGAGTATCATGACCAATTTATATAATAATATATTTAATAAAATGCATATAAATAAGATTATTTTATATTCTCTGGGATATCTAAGGTCATCTTTTAAACATTAGCACTACAGAAGATTAGTAAGTAAAAGATATTTGTATTTACAACTTATAATTGGAGATTTATTATCCATTACTGATCAAGCGATCAGTAAAATGTGATTGTTAAGTCATTTGAAATCATTTGTACATAACTCATTTTTACATAATTATCTATGTCTCAAAAGTTATATGCAGATTATCGACTTTTAGGTGTTTTTTTATAAATAAAACCGTATTTTTACAAAATTCTTTTAACTTACTTGTAATCTAGCACCAGGACCTACAGCCACAACGGTACCTTGTAGAACTTTGCCCTGTGCTTTTTCTGGAATAACAATTCCACCTTTGGTTTGTGTTACTGCCTCAAATTTTTTTATCAGTATACGGTCAAAAAGAGGAATCAAACGTTTAGCTGCTGCCGACTACAACAAAACAGAATTTTCATTTTATAGGTAGATGCTATGTACTGCTACTAATGAAAATGAAAAACAAGTTTAGATCGACATGATAAAATAATACAAGATATTATCTTATTAATTCTTGATGCATATAATACACTTACCATGGTTGTATTTATGATTAGTATTATAAGAAACAGATATTTAAAAAACGTGGTTTACTTTAACCTATCAACTGAGAATTTTCTGGAATGAATAAAATCGAACGCCGGCAGGCGGCAACCGCGAGGGCAGGAATTATCAGCGCATTAGGCTCGTGATGTATTTCACTCACTTAAAATATAGCTATTCTTGTTTAACACATGTTGTAAGATTCGCTATATCGTTTAACGTATGTCAAGTTTTAAGTCTGTTAACATCAAAGTATTCTTTGAAATAGAATAGATGTCGCTGAAATTATTAAAGAAACCTTTAGTGCATTATATAAAATTACAATATGAAAATAATAGATGGCGGAATTAATAATATGTAAAAAAAATGGATAGATATAATTTGATATTAAAGATAGATTAAAATAAGATTTACAACTATAATCTATAATACTTCGCGTTCCATAACTTGAGTTTTTTCTGAATATTTGTATAGGTAACTGAAGAAAGTTGACAGTAGACATACAGGGTGTAACAACGACGGTGCGATAAACTTTCAAGATTGATTTCTCTCATCAAAACAAATAAAAACATAATAATAATATATAACAAATGTATCTTGTCTAATAAGCGATCTACGATGATCCATTAAATATTGGAAACATAAAATAGTTTTAAATCAATTACTCGCAAGAACTATGGAAAATTTACTTTATTTGGTACAGTGCAATTACTCCTTAGTACCTACAATTAAAATTTGAACAAAAACTAATCTTTAAATTAAGATGGAGCTGAGGGACTTTGCCTATCAGAAAGAAAATAATAATAATAATTTGTCGCAGTTGCAAATTTTCTTTCAATTTTACATAGGTACCTAGGTGTATTTAACAAACCGGACAATGTTAGAACCTCGTTATCAGCGGACTATAAGCAAAAGTTTTTCTTTGCTCATTTTTCAAAGTTATACATAATTGTATCTGCTATGGAAATAACAGTCGAATCATAGAGTCGAATCTATCCATCTGGCTGTCTTTAACAGCGGTTTCGATTTATTTGCACTCGGGCGCACTGAGAATATTTCCATTTTTTATTATTCAAGTTGGTAGTACAGGATGCAGATATTCGCAGCGCGCATTGATTGTGAGAGCAAAAGTGAAAATAAGTCACAAATTCGATGTACATTTGTGCAAAGGTTTAAAATATAATTAATTTCACCTGTGCTCTGCTGCTTATAATGCTTCTAATCAAGAGCGGTGAATTCTGCAAAGAACCTCAACTTGTACAAAAGTTTTGACTTGAAATGGTCAATTCAAATCAGTAAAAAAGAAGTAACTGTCAAAATGCCTCAGACCTCTACTAATTCCATTAGGTAGTTTTTGAAGAAACTACGTAATATTTCGGCAGCAATTAGCAATCTCTTTAATATTATTTACAAAATAAATGTATAATATTTAATTGTTTTAGTTTAATTTCTGTACTTATCTAAAAATATTTGTAAAGAATTGAAGCCCTGCTTATAAATAAATAAATTATATATACTTCTTACTAAAACAAATTCATTGACTGATTTGTATATGTCCTTAATTGAATAAGTTGTTGGACAAAATGATAATTTAGGCCAAACATATTCAGAAAAAATATCTCTATCACTCTATCCCTCATTCCAATCGCAAGGATTAGCCTAAAATGCGGATACTTGCGCGGTAGAGGGAAAGACGTATTATTACTCGGTGGGCCACATTTGCGCCCAGGAATGACTTACAGTGGTAAACATTAACACCATTTAGTGCGGAGATGAGGGAAATATGTTGTCGTCCTTGGATGCCCTTTTTGCTACCGTTCCACAATACTTTATAATGGAGTCCTCAATACCCCAGCTATACTATTTGTGAATGTGAAATTTTACACAACATAGACCAAATTTCAGCAAGATTGGAGATGGTGAATAAAAATTTTTCTTGTAAATTTTATCTCTTTAAATAAAATGATCCTTCTGCTTTAATTGTGAAGTTCTATCTAATACTTTTTAGAACAGGCTCAGTTTTAGCATGTTCAATTAATTTCAATGTTGTCCACTGAACGCACAAGCGCGCACCCCAAAAATAATCAAAATCGATTCCTGCATATATTTCTAAAAAAGAAAATTGCATATTAGAGTTATTTCAAGAATTAATTCAAAGTCGCTTAAAGAATTATTCACAAANTATTATTTTATCTAAATCACACCGAGACAAAATATTCTTTTAAAATATTGTTACAATGACTTTATTCACACCACATACTAACTAACAAACAATAAATTATAAAAAAACAAATGATCGACTACAGAAAAAAAATTGTACAATGGTAAATCTTATAAGTAATATAGTTAAATTGAAAGACGTAAGCTGATAATTATTGAAAAAGTAATAGGTGTCATCTGTCATATATATTTTATTGACATGAGCCACGTATGACTGCATTTTTATAACATTTAATAAAATATGGTTCGTCTCTGCCCCTTATAAGATTTGCCATTGTAAATTTTTTTTTGTATTTCGTTTTTTTTTATAATTTATAATTCCCACGTTCCAGGGATCAAAAAATTTTTAGTATCACTTGCCATATATACAGAAAGATTTAAACTAACAGTTCTAACAGCAATTTGAAGCTATTCGAGGGATCTAACAACCCCAGTTTCCGGAACTAAAATAAATTTCTTCATTTCGGAGATATTGGCAGTTGGAGTGTTAAATGGCACACCCTGTATAGACGGATTAGCCGATATCGGTTTATTTTGAGTCGAGGAATCAAATACCTTTAATATGCTCTTTTTTAATATTTGCAATTTTTCTTTATGTGGTTTATTTTTTTATCTGTTCTACACGTACTTACGGGACACCCTATATATCGTTAAATTTAACGAAACAGTTGGCAAACGTTTGTCATTAAGGTAGGACTTGAAAATAGAAAATAATGAGTGTCAGTTTTTGAAATTTTTGGAGTAATTAACGCCGAATTTTGTTTTTCAAATTGTTTATAACTTTATAGAATACACACCCGGTACCAAGATTAAGCTGTCAAGCACAATAATATAAAAAGTTATTGAACATTAACAAACAAACTTCAATAGTTTATCAGCATCACGTATTATACGTTGAATGGTTAATTTTTACCTATTATTCTCGTCTCTTTGTTGAATTCAAAGCTTGTTGGAAAAAAAAACAGCCCACGCCAAGAAAAACGGTACGCCTCGTGATTATATATTTTTTATGACTTTAGGCAGCCGAAAAAACGCGCCCTGGCGTAAGGTCGAGGGTGATGGATACATCATTTCAGCGTTATCGGCAAAGTTTCCTGAAAAATCTCGCTAGACTGGTGCACCAGACATAAACTCATATTGCACGGGGAATATGGATCCCATGAACGCTAATCAACTGCCTTCCCTTGTGCACTGTAAATGTATACAGGGCACATTGAGAAACATCGTAATGTAAATAACTGAGTTTTAATTAGGTTATATCATAATTTATTTATATTTAATCGTATAGTATGTTTAAAAATAATGATAAATAGTTGAAACCTTAAAATTTCCCTTTGTAAAAATTTGACATTGACAGCAGCATGTAAATACAGGGTGTTTCTGAAATACAAGTTTCAACAAGCCATCATAAGTTCACAGATAATATGATTTAGACCATCTTACTTACGTGTTCTTCCGAATTTTAACGACATACATAGAGGAAATAAAAATAATGGCACTTTGATATATAATGCTGTTTTCGAAACTCCACCGCTTTTAATGTAAAGGACGTTAGAGGTAAAAAAGTTATCTCTAAATATTTTATGAACAAATGAAGTTATTGAAGCGATATTGTATGTGCACAATACAGTATAAATAAACAAACCAGTGGTGTAATATCAGGTAAGCTTTCGTAAAAAATTATGGCACGCCTCTGGAAAATAAATATTTTCTTATCATCTTTGTACATAATGCGTTTTATGTGAACGAATGATCTCTTCACTTATTTGTTTACCGTTTTAGAACAAATTAACGATTAAGTTTAAAATTATACAGGAAATTACAGATGTTATTAACCAAACAGGCATGGGGGTAGTTGGCGAGAGCCAGTTTATTGAACAATGAGTATGTTGTGTGAAATCAGAAATACCAGAATATACAGAGTCGGAAAGTCCCCATGGTTCATCGGCCGTTACGTGAGAGCGATAAAGTAAGTCATAGAAATCCGTGCGATAGAGAAGGATGGCTATAATGAAGGCGTCTCATAGTCACCGCTCGTTTCGCCCTTCCACAAATAAGATCCACTTCCACTTGTAATTCAGCGACCGGTGGTCATCTTTGTTTTCGTCGTTTGGCTTCTCTGTAATAGATGTCACTACTTATACAATTCCGACTTCGTATTCCGATATGTTAATACAATGACCAATAATAATAATACAATTTTTGGAACTTGCAGCATGCAGCAAGAATTAGGGAGTCGTGCCTCTTCTTGCTCCCCTGGCTACGCCCATGAATTCAGAAATACTTAGAGGAGACAAACACTATTTGTAAAACTAAATAAATTCAATGTATCAACTTTACAAATTGATACAATAGCGAATTTAGCTAGAACATAATTTTTTGAATACCGTTTTATTCATGTACTGTGCACACAAAAAATCGTTTCAGTATCTTCATTTGTTTAGAAGGAATTGAGAGATATTACTTTCTGAAAATTTTAAAGCCCCGTGTCTCAAAAACGGTGGATTTGTAAACATATACAAAAAAAAAATATTGAATCTTGACAGAATAAAATTCTGGAAAAGTCAAATAGAGTATTTCGACCATTTTATATTAAGAGGGTAAAGAGATATGGGATTTTTTCGATATTTTTTCTTGTGGTATGAATCCTTTATCCTATGGGCATTCTGAGACCAATTAAAATTCCTTACACTTCGATTTTCTCAAAAGATAATTATTTAGTTGTATGTATTTGTTTAGAATTATAATGTAAGGCTCCCACTCTTTTTTTAGCGATGCTTTGCCAAATCATAGATCAGAGAAAAACTTAAACCATCAACTTTTTCAGCAAATCAATATATACAGGGTGTTTCTTAATAACGTGCTAATATTTAAGGAGGTTATTCTTGG